CCGCGCTGTGAGGCTGGGTTGAGAGGCCTGCAGAGCCGGCTCGAGGGCTGCGGGGATATGACGCTGCCAAGGGCTGCAGTGGCCCGGCTGCGGCGAGCAGAGCCCTACCTTGGAGCCTGCGATGAGAGCGATGCCGATGGAGAGCCTGCGCCTCATGCCCCCGCTCAGAAACCTGCTGCGGGAGTCCCGCGTGTCCTCCAGGCCCAGGGTGTGCAGCATCTGTTTGACTTCTTCGGGGCACTTCTGGCGTGACAAGCCTTTCAGCTGTGACGACAGGGGACAGGAGAGGTTGGACAGCAGCTTCTGGTAGAGGCTGGCCCTGGGCACGGGCAACGGCCTGAGAAGCCTGCTTTGGACCCCGATGGGCTCGGCCTTGACCCTGCCCTCCCAGGTCCAAATCCTGTTTTCTCCCAGCTCCTAAGAGCAGACTCGACTCTGCTGGGGGTTTGGGCCTTGCGAACGCAGTATGTGGCCGCGGTGCAGTGGCCTCCTGCGAGTTGGGGTCACCCCCGCCTTACCTGGGCGTAGAAGTAGAGGTGCTCTGTGACCGTCAGGTTGTCAAACAGGACATCGTGCTGGGGGCACAGGCCCAGGTTCTTCCGGATCTGAACCATGTCCCGGGAAATCTCGTACCCACTAATATAGGCCCGTCCACTGGTAGGGGGGAAGAGACCTGGGGCCAAGCGGATTCCCAGACTCAGCACGGAATTTTGCTCAACCACACCAAGCGTGATGAGCCCTGCCTCGGTCCCCGCAGCTGCCCGCTCCCTGGAGAGGGCCTATCTTGGGCCTGTAACTAGCCAGGGGGAGACAGAGAGGGATGGGGAAGGCCCTGCTGCCAGAACACTCGTCCTTGCAGGGATGGGACGCATCTGCGTGAGTGTGGCTGTGGGCCCGGAGTAAACCCCCTTGCAAAGCCCCCAGGCCATACACACGGTGCTGACAGACGTCTGGGGCTCAGAGACAGTGTCAAACACTGGAGTCTGCATGACGCAGGAGGGCCAGTCAGAACACGGCACCCCTGTGTACTAGAGTCGGTCTCGTGTGTTCTCACTGGGTCCCTATACTTGGACCTGTGGGGCTGAGCTCAAGGTGTGTGGCCATCACAGCCCTTCACGGTGGCAAAGGCCACGCACCAGGTGCAGGCCACACGTGGCGCTGGGACAGCTACCTGTGAGCATGGACAGCGTGGTGGTCTTCCCCGCGCCGTTGTGGCCTAGCAGGACCGTGATCTGCCCCTCGTACAGGTTCAAGTTCAGGTCTCTGACGGCAGCCTTGTCCTCACCCCCCACCCGGAACACCTGCAAGGAAGGCAGAGGCTGCTCGCCACGGCTCTCGCCTTGTTCCCCACGAGTGCCCCAGGACCTTCTTGGTCCCTGCAGGACAGAGGCCCCTGAAGCCCACCTCCTGCATCAGACACACGGGAGAGCAGGCCGGCGAGTCCTGCAGGCGCGCTGGCTAGGCAGCAGGGTCCTCCCGCCATGCCGGCCACCAGCCGCGTCCCGGCCCGCCCCAAAAACCAGGCCGGCCAATTAGCCGCGTCCTGGCCAGCCCCGCCCTGACCCCACGAGGAGGCAGCACCTTGGACAAGTGCTTGATCTTGATCCCGGCCACCAGGTCCTCGGGCTCAGCCTCGAAGAACTCTGTCCGCAGAACTTTCTCAGGGTCGCTGTCATCGTCTTCCTTCCCCAGGGCCGTCCGTGGGCTCCCGCGCCAATACGAGGGCTGGGGGGAGGCAGATAGCGGCAGTCGTCAGAGCCGCTCGTGTCAGCTTGCTTTGTTTGTGATAAACGGAGCACAACCAAGCGACACGCTAGCCACACACAGAGGCATGACCCGCGTCTGAACCCTCGGGGCATGCTTCTGGGAGTGGTGGCAGCGCAGCGCCCATGCCTTCTCTGCTGGGAAGCTCCCAGCCCATCTCCCTAGGTGGTAATGGGCACACAGAGCCTCGGGGCGCAGTAGCACCTCGGAGCTTGTTGTGTGTCAACCCAGCTGGGGCGAGGAGGCAGCGCGGGTCAGCTAAGGAACGCAGAATCAAGCGGTTCCCAAGGGCGCCCGTCCAGCACGAGGTCAGCACCGGGAAGAAAAGGCAGCTGCTTGCCCACGCTCCGCCTCGTTAGTCTGACAGTAAGAGAAGCCTGAGAGGCCTCCCCTCTGCCAGGAGGGGCACTTCCTGCCCCCCTCCCACTGCCATAGTCACAGAGCCACCACCCTCCCACAAGCTGCTGGACCCAGGACTCGAACCACACAGCTAGCTGTGTGGGATCCAGCTGCCTTAACCTCCATGCACCAGCTGGCCTAATAGAAGGCTTTAAGAAAACGGAAGTGATTCAGACATACACAGCCCAGCACTCCCAGAGAGGTGTGGAGACACGGCAGCAGTGTGGGCAGGCCATGGGGAGCAGCCAAGGGCCGCGAGAGCGGGCTCTGCAGGGGCGTCTGCTGGGACCTCAGCTCCATCCCCAGTGTGGGCCTGGTGCCTGGGGTTAAGGGACACACCTCACATTTAAAGTGACTTTGAAATCAAAATGCATCTTACATGGCAAATGCCATCCTAACTATGGAATTGTTCTATTTGAGAGAGATTTTTGCTATAGGGTGTGTGTGCTCGCCGAAGAGACAGAGACAGAAAGTGAGAAATCACCCTTCAGGGGGATGGCTACATCGCAATCCCTTCTCCTCTTAGGATCTTGGGCACACTTGCACACGTGCTTGGCGTGAGTTTCTCTTGCTGCCGTGCTTGGCGTGAGTTTTAAGCTGCCAGATCTGGGACTTGAACCACGGTTGACTACATGGGAGTCCATGACATAGCCATTATGCCACTTGCTGGTCCCAGCATTTTTCTTTCTTAATTACAAAATAAGGGCTGCCTCTGGTGTCACCTTAGTTGACAAAATACAGCAGTGGACGCTTGATGAGTACTTGTTGAAGCAGAGAATGAAGAAAACGTGGCCCGAGCACCCACTCCTGACAGGAGAGTGAACACAGGGTGGTACATCTGCGCTTTGGGACGTGCGTGGTTATTACAAACGCACCTGCCCGAGACAGCGGAGACACAGTTGCTAGGGCCGGCGGCAGCGGGGTGGTGGAGGTGGCTGGAGCCCACCGCCGGCTGCACAGCTCAAGTCTCAGACCCAACGGTGCGAGCATTGCCGAGCACAGGTGCCCGTGTGCCCAAAATCCCACGAGGAGGAGACAGAGGAGACTGCAGTGTGACCGTCCCCTGCAGTGACTCTCCCCCTGTCTGTCTCCAGGGCGCAGACGTGCCCTCTAACAAATAAGAAACAAACCCGTGGCTTATACACATGACTAGACTAAAAACCAAAATGTGCATTTATAAATAAATATACATGTATTTGTATTTAAAATGCCTGTATTTAAGATATACTGTTAGGTTAAAAAAAATCAAGTTTATGGGACCAGCAGTTGGCGTAATGACTATGTCGCTGGACTCCCATGTAGTTGACCATGGCTCAAGTCTTGGACCCGGAGGCTTAAACTCATGCCGGGCATGTGTGCGTGCGTGCCCAAGATCCTAAGAAGAGAACGGAGAAGGGATTGCGGCATGGCCATCCCCCTGGGGGGTGATTTCTTGCTTTCTGTCTCTCTGTCTCTGTCTCTCTGGCAAGCACACATG